ATTGCGTTGTTGAGATAAACGTTCATAAAGGTGCGCAAACTTGGTGGGGTGGCCAACTCGCTTGCCTGGCCAACTCGCTTATCCAGCACGTTAATAGTTCGGTGATGGATACAGATAGTTGGTAACAAGATAGAAGATGGCCAAATAGTCTGTTTTCACGATATGTAAACTGCTACTAAGAGGAGGTACCGTTTGAAAAGCTTATATCCATTGGTCATGAGTACATATTTGGCTAAAGAGGGCCAAAAGGTAGGTGTTGGGGGCCAAAGAATGCTGAGCTTGATCAAGTTAGGCGTGCTTCCCTTATCGATGCTTCAGTAGCGTAAGATTTTGTTTGGGACACACTAGAGGATTTTTATCTTTGTTGGTTGCGCTGGACGCCTAATTTCTAGCTGAATTGTGGAGTCCAAATATTCGAACTTCGTGGATTCAAGTCCGTATATGCACAATGCTCAAGGCACCTGCATAACCGAGATTCGTTGAACACATTGTGACGCTCTGCTTCTCCAGTTGTTGCAGCGTTGTCGTTCTGTGGCTTATCATTCTTTCATGGTGCTAGTCCCCGTTTTGCTGTCCCCTGATACCAAAATTAACTTAGTTCAGCCACGGCCTCCTAGTACGCATCATGATGAACTGAAAGATTTAGACTCTGAAATGCAATTGGAGTTACCAGGTACTGACTGAAGTATGCCCTGCTGCTATGTATATAACATGGCACGACTTGTGCAAGTGTTTTACATTCCAGCTGCATCAAATTGTATTCAGATACAACTGGGATAAGGTCGTTCGCTATGTCTTCTACTCTTTTCTCAGCCTCGGTACTGGCCTTGCGTGCATCATCACTCATCTGCCCATCGTTACCGACCTGCCCAGACGATAACGAATGTACATTCAGTTCCAATGGAGCCGATTTCAAAGTCAGTTGTGCAACGGACTTCTACGGAGGCGACATGGGACGAGCATACGTAGGTGACACACTTATAGAATCTCGCAGTAAGATATTAATCTTGATAGGCCGCGACGGTTGCCGAATGCATGAAGATCTGTGCGTCTACAGATGAATGCGTTGCTCTGAGTTATGTGGGCACGGACTGCTACCTGAAAAACACACTCAACGCTGGCTCAGCCAAGTAAATAGTCTCTGAAGATAACAAAATTCTGATACTGACCTACCATATAGTACGGGAGTGATGGGCGCGAATATCATCTCTCGTGTCACTCCAACTGCTCCCTCGAGCTCATCAGCGGGGCCGCAACAGCCCTGTCCAGCTTCCATTAACTGCCCTGACAACAATGGCTGTCTCAATTCTGATAGCACCAGCGGCCGTTCTTTTACCTTGAGTTGCGGTGTCGATTTCTTTGGTGGCGATCTCGAGATGCAGTGGGCTGATGGACTAGAAGCCTGCTCAGCCGCATGCGCGGTTAATCCTGAATGTGTTGCAGCATCATTCGTCGGTAATAGTGGCAGCAGCGGACCATGCTATCTCAAGAGCAAAAACCTAGGACAGATCCTAGATTCTCGCGTGAACGGTAAGTATTAACTCGGAAAAAGATTTAATATAACAGCGAATAGCTGATGTGCGCACAGGGTTTTCAGCCAATCCGCCATCCGCATCTGTACCTGCAACACCATCTCCTACTCCGGCCAGTCCCGTTGCGGGGGGTATCTCTAAATCGCTCAATACACTTGAAGGGGTTCAATTCTGTGCCTCATATATCAGTTATAGTCCACCAGTAGAAACATTGCGCACAGCCGTTACCATCTCGACTGTCACGGGCACTACAACCACCGACCAAGTCACATCTACACCTCCTGCCGTCAAATTAGTTGAGACCGTAGTAGTTTCTAAAGAAACAACTGTTGTGGCAAGTACAGAAACTGCATTTACAACCACAACGGTGCAGGGTAACCTAGAGAAGAGGTTGCAAGCAACGCCAGCAGCAGCACTCGAAACACCGTCAGTCTTTCAGGGTTGGTCATCCCAAGATATTTCTGCAACATGCAGCAAGGTCGCTACCTTTACTTCGACTACTACTCTCATCACAGCCACCGAGACCGTGTACACAGCAACGGAAACGAGCTCTACAAAGACAACTATTGTTGTTCTGGCCCCTACGATCACTACGGCCACAACCTCGCCACTCATACGCACAATCAGCGTGACCTCTCGGATCCCGATTGTTGAGCAATCTCCATGTTCCAGCCGCTCTATACGTCTCTGCTGCCAAGGCGTTGCGGCATGGTCAACAAATTCCGGAGCGTGGGGCGGCGTCTGCGGATATACACCATCAGATCCCAGTGAACTTATTGGTGCAAGATGCGTCACACGGCCAGCGTCGGGAGTGTGTCCAAGTGGTTCCTCGCCAGCATGCTGCAGGGGGACCATTCCCGGGCCATGCTACCTAGGCACACAGTGTGCGAGAGGGTAGTGTTCGAGTCACACTGTAAAGCAAATCCCATGGTATTCTGTGACAAGGTCCGACTAGTTCTGAGCTTGGAGCATACACTTGTACACAAACACAACAATGGCATAAGAGTTTGAGTCTAGAAGTCCGTTTACGAGTAGAGTTAATTTCTATTGATCTACAAACACCTAATGTAACTAAGGTAAATTTAACGTTAGATCTATTAGGCATTGAGGATAAGGTCAGTTACTGGATCCACAATTCCCTCCGTATCGTCGTCCGATACCGATGTATACCCCGATCCGAGACCAATGGGCTGCATCTGGATATTTCTTTCCTCGACCAAGCCAATCCGCCATCGCATCACCTCATCGGGATCTCTGAACCAGCCAATTCATATGAGAATCTTGTCCTTGATTAAGTCATTCATGCCTTGCCTTCTAATTATTTCGAGTAGACGCTCGCTACCAGCGATGGGAATAAGTACGTCAGCAATGCATTCCACATTCCGCATCATGCCGGCGTGGTATTTCCTCTGTACGGATGCGACGATGACGATGGTGATGGTCAGCCAGATTAAGATGCTTGTGGCGAGCCAGAAGGCGACTGGGTTCATTGTGAGCACTTCAACCCAGGTGGTTATTGTCACTGCCTTTGTGGCGCTAGTGCTGCAGACGATGTCTTCAAATTTTGGGGCCACAGAGCCGTCAGGTATATATTAAGACGGCATGTTGCGCATCTGAGGGTTAACCTTGAGTTCCATGCCCTGGGTTGATAAACGTTGCCACTGTGTTCGAGAGACAGGTTGTTGCCTACAAAGTGCTGGAAGAAGGTTGAATCACCATAATATTTAACAGCTCGGCAATAAGTCCTTCGATCTACTAACTGACATCACGAGGTGAAAGCTACCATCGCTTTAATGATAAGCTCCGAGCTAGCACTGAAGCAGGACGTTTACTGCCAAGCACTGAAGAAACCTCGCTCGCGGCGCGGCTACTATAAGTGGGTGCCGGCGAGTAGTTCTCGGCTTTGGCCACCAAAGGTAATGAACTTACAGGGAACAAAATCGGAAAAAATCGCAGAGGAACAGCCCTCCGTTTTTCAATCCGATTCAGAGAAACTTAGTTGCGACGCTAGCTAGCACTTCCCTATCGACGCTCTATACCCAAAACGGCTACAAAACGGAGATGCAAAACGGAAAAGAGATCAGGCACTATAGTTGTCGCGTGACTATCATATTGTTGCTTATAGTTTAGCCCCATGTGATAAACATAGAAGAGTCCGCCATAGCTTCACATGTTTCCATTGCAAATATGCGTTGTTAACCGGCCCTAGGTCATTCTACGGCCCTATACCGTCCTAATGCAGACCCATGTCACTATTCGACCCTGGGTTGTTTTGCGGCCCTATGCCGTTCCGGCGCGACCTTTTGTTACTTCCAGTCTACAAACAAAGGATGGTATAGTTGTGTTAATGCTAACTGCAGTTAGGTATATAAATCCATTGACCGCTCGAAGTTTTACGTGATACCAGAGGATCACTCAACATATAACCCCCAAACAGATCATCATCAAGATCCATCTCGTGCACCTAGACGTAAGATGCTCTCTTGTCTCTTTTTCCCACTCCCCATACTTCCTACTATTCATACTAGTTTGTACTCATTTATGCTTACTCCTTCAATATAGGGGAAATAATGCAAGCCCTACCCAGATCATGGTCAAAACACCTCAACTATTCACGACGCGAAGAAAGCCCTGAAGAGGAAAAACTTGTTGATAGATCTAGTCAGTCATCTGGCCGGCTTATCTACGCGAAGAAATCAGCATCCAAGAAGCAATGGATAAAATCGATAGCTGTTTTCTTACTCAAAGGATCCATCGTTGCCCTAGCGATATATGGTGCTGTAAATCTCGGGCATCGTATTAAAGTAAATGTTGCTCTCGCAAGACACGAAAACAGATGCGAATGTGGTCGGAACGTCGGGGAGGCGGTTGCCAAAGGCTGCAAGTACGACGAGTTAGCATCCGCATGGCTGCCACCCCACTGTCGCGACGAAGAATTGAGTACAGAGTTCAGTAACGTAGGACCAGACTCTGGTGGGCATTGGGGTTACTGGTTAGATCAGAATGGGACAAGGCCTGTACCTCCACACGAACTGGGTTTTATCGCCGATACAGACGACGTTTATTGGACGACAACTCAGTGGCATATCGTGCACTGCATATATTACTCATTAAAGCAGTTTCGATCAAAGACAAGTGGCGCAGTAATCGAGGAAAGATATGATAACGAAGGCCATATCCGTCATTGTGGCATGGTGATGTTGAAGCATATGCTCCCACCGAAGATAAGTACCTTTCAGAGTGCTGCACTCACTAGCGAGCTTTTCACTGAGCAAGATGACGCTCATCCTTAGCTGTTTGTATGAAACATCAGTATAATTCTATATCACACGAAGTAAATAAAGTTTTTTCATCATCCTCGCTGCGCATGTCTTGTTCACTAAAACTGGTGGCAAATGGTTCAAATTCGATGTATAAAAACCGAGCCGGTTCTATCGTAACAAAGTGTACGTTCTTATTGTACATACTACTTCAGAAGCAATCCAGAGATAGTCATGTATCATGATTTCGTATCATGATCAGGGTAATCGTCTCAATGCTATCATAAGAACATTGTAGATAAATCGTAGCCTTGACAATTATATGGTTTCTGATAAAACCACATCCATCTTGGAATTGGCATACACGATTTTCTTCTTATCTGAGATCATGCCATGGTCATTCAGATGTAAGTCCCTGTTGCAGACCAAGCTCCATCGAAAACATGAACGTTATTAGTAAATATGCCATACCATGAGCAAAATTCAATTCTAGTCAGGACGCCACAAATTTTAGAAAATATGCTCTCTTCTGATTTAGTGTGTCCGTAATGCCCCATTCAACCGTGTGATAATTCCTGAAATTCTGATTCCTAGGCTGGCAAACCCTGATTGTTCTATAGCAACACCTTATTACGTACCAATGAAGTCTCGAACAGTTTTCTATGTATTTAATTGGGTATAAAACCTCACTTATAAGGTCCTAGTTGATATGTGCTGGCATTGCAGCCTCAGGAGATAGCCCTACTGATAGTGAAACTTCCAAAAAATCGATTTGCAATTTAAATTAATGCAGTAGTGGAAGTATGTATGACGAATGCCTTCGCTATAACCGAAATTTCCATGAAAACCTGTGCTCCTCTCAGTGACGCTCTTCGGAAGCAGACATACCGAGTTGGCATTCAATTGTGTAAGTCAGCTAATATGTTTGTTGAGTTAGAAGGTGATATCTGCTTGTGATGCAGATTTGGAAGAAGAACATTTAAAAGCTGATCCCATAAGGAGAGCCCTTCAGGAGATAATTTATTTGTGTAGCTACTCAACCGTGTAGCAGAATGATTTGTTACCGCAGTATGTACTAAATACTACTGCGATACTCAACAGCTAGTCACTTCAATCTCTATTGCCTGATTGGCTATCTTATCTTCTTTCATGTTCCATGTGCCGTTGAGCCCTTTCCATATTGCATGGAAGCAATGTTCGGCATGACCGTAGGTATCTATAGCCCGACGTGGCGCTTCACCAAACGCAACACGTGAGACATGAAGAAACAAGAACATGCAGTGGGCGAGGTGCTCCTCTACAGAAGACCAGACTTGCATTTCCCAACGATTGCCAAAATCCTCTTCACTGGGAATCCGATTTCTCGCAAGTGATGAGCCTTCCGACATCTCTGTGAAGAATGGCCACGGGCCCAAATGCCTTAGCGGGTCTGAGAGCCATGACCGAAATTCATCGGAAGTCGCGGTATCCTTGCAACGAGTTGGCATCCATGCGTAGCTCAATACATCAAATTCACATCCGTTGGCCTCAAAATCAGCCAAGCTAGCGCCGCATTCTGTGTGGCTTTTGTCTTCCTTTGGTGGTATTTGACCCTCGTAAACCAGAACCACAACGCCAGTAATGAGAAAAAATGCCAAGAAAATGCTGATCATAACGCATCCAGTCGATCGATTGAAGGTGGACCGTCTTCTTCTTCCAGAAAGCTCTTCGTCAGAGGCAACCGGAGCATATTGATGGTCTTTTTCAAGCTCAATCATGGCTATAATCCGTCTACCGCCAATGGTTATCAGTACACTGACATTAGATTTAATCGCTGGGAAGAATATCTTACATGGATCTGTTTTGCAGCCTTATAATGTAGATTAGATGCTGCTTGAACGTACATGGTATTTAATATACGTTTCTATTGACCTTGGTATATGCGCTGACAATAGCGTTGTGAAATACATATACCCCGAAAAGATATGTGACTTTAAGGAAACCCAAGCGAAACACTCTTTGAATATACATGTTCTGGTTGGGAAAATTCCTAGCCTCGTTTTATGTTATCTCTCTCGGCTAAGGTTCTCTTGCCTCGCTGAGAGAGGTCTTCAAAACAAGCTGATCATCGGCGGCATGTCGGTAACATAATGAACACACTACGTTGAGGCATCATGTATCGAAAACAATATCCGGCCGGGAATTAAACAACGGGCTTTCGGCATGTTGCCGGTATTAGGTTGCCAGAGAGGCCTAGATAGAAGATGACGCGTGACAGAGACATCAGCTGACTAGCAGAAACCCAACCTCAATCCAATAGTGCGACTGCGGGGCCTCACCAAATTAGAGGATACACTCGACTCAAACCAACTGTTTATTCCTGGCAAAGATATTGCAATACCAATGAGTTGTCTTTGGTTCATGTAAAGATCGTATTGGGATACATAATTAGCTAGCCATAACTTAGTGCTTACGACCTATGTCTCATGCGCATGAGAAGCTTTCACATACAAACGAAACTGGAAATCCAAACATCCATCGCCCGGACCCCCTTCTGACCTCCCGGCGTATACTGTAAGCTTGCATGGCACGCCTCTCGTAGAGCGAGAATTAACCCTCTCTCCCTTTCACCATTGACGTGGGTTTCTACTTCCTCCTGAAAAGAGGCAGAGAGACAAGTTGAAACCTCCCATTGTCCGTCAAGCAATCCATCTTTTGCTTGCACACGGGTCTCACTTTCCAGCTTCCATCCAGCAGCTAGCGCCAGGTCGGTAAGACGCTTTGGTCCTACCACAGTACGAATGTTGGAATCGCTCTTAGGTTTGTGACATTCTAGTGCTGCTTGGGCGAGCGCAGCGAGTACATGAGGTTGTGCAGAGGGGTCAGTCGCCACTAAAGACCATTCAGCAAGGAGGAGGCGCTTGCTGTGGTCCCTGATAGCACGCAAAGTTGATTGAATAATGGAAGGGGAAGAAAAGTACCAAGTACAATGGGCGAGTACAGTGGCATCAAAGGTTTTGGTGTCGTTAGCGGACTGCGAAGAAGTAGAAGAAGAAGGGGAGGATAAGGAGGAGAGATAATCCAAGGGGGATTGCTGCACCCAGGTAATTCTTGTACCTAGAGGACTTTGTGATATGTGTGTTTGTGCTTGGCCAAGACTATATGGAGCGCCTGAAAGAGAATCAACTCACGGCCTTCTGCCCATGCTAACATGGCGGGTAGGGGGAAAAGTGGAGAGACGTACCATAATTCAAGTCAGCCGGATCGACAGCCACAACGCTCCCCTCTTTGCCCACAGCATGGGCAAGGACAGTTGTACAGTCTCCTTGCCCGCACCCTAACTCCAATATCTTTGAGCCGGCAGGTATGTTCCAGTTCTGTAGAAGCACTAAGCGATGACTTGTTTGAGAGAGCTGGACGTTAAAGTGTGAGGGGTCGTGCAGGGAGATGCGGGCGAGAGATTCGGCGTCAAATTGAGTAGACATGGTGGTTGTTGGGTGGTGCGATAGCAGCAGCAGCAGTAGAGGTGTCAGATAAGTGGCAGAATCCGGGGCTGATCACTGGTGATCCCAGCCAATCAGAGCTGATCGCCAAGTCCTACCCCTAGGCGAGGCTGATA